GTTTGAGGAGCAGCACACCTCACCCATACAGGGCAGTGCACCCCAGAGGGTCAGGGAACAGCACAGAAAGGAGGAGAAAAAGAACAGAAACAGGGAAAACCAGCACGCCCTGTTTAAAGATTTCGTATTTTAGTGGTCTGTAGAAAATTCTTTTTTAGTCTTCTGAAATTCTCCTATCAGTCAACTGWCAATGCTGAAAGAAAACCACTTTATTTTCCTCACCTGGGTATGCAAGGAAAGCAGTAGGATATACAATATCCTTTGGATGCCACATCCTTCCATTCCTGCATTTTTTCCTCTTCTACCACAGCAATCTAGAATTTAATTTCTGGGCAGGACTGTGTGGTGATYACAGAAGAGATAGCCTACAGTGAATTGCTATTTTACAGGACACATCTACATTTCTATTTCATCATCCTTTGTATTTCAATTTCTGCCCCAAAAGTAATTTTTTTTCTCTTCCTTCCCACATTCAAATGCAAGAACTAAGGCAATTCTCTCATCTGTTATACTGAAGTTACTCACAAGGAACATCTGTACTCAAACACAGAGTCAAGTATTGGCCAAAATGCAATTTAACCACTGTCAGGAATTCAGGAAGGCCACAGACATTGCATTCTGAATGTTTCTGGAAAATCTAAGCTCATCTATTTCATAGAAACACAGAGTTAGGGATAGAGGARATCCATTAGGAGGTTTCCCTGCACRTTTTTCCAATTTTTCTCCARTTTTTCTGTGATAGCTCTCTTTCTGTCTGCTCTCAGGCYGTTATATTCCAAGATACTGTGCTTATCACTAATCCATAATGCAAYATCTATCATCATGTAAAAGTTTTATCAAACAGCATAAATTTCCCCTCCATTAATTTAATCCAAATACCTCCATTTTTACTATTTTGTATTATACCAACTCAACTGTTTCTTTGCTGTTAACACCCTCCTAAGACTCCTGTTCATCTTTAATCATCAGTTTAACAAAAAAAAGATATTTCAGTCTTGCTTCATAAACAATCCATTATTTTGCCTCATGACAACTCTGTTTCTTCTGCACTTGCTGCAATTTATCATAATCTTTCTGATAATCTTGCAACAGTTCTGACAAAAAAAATAAAACAAAATAATAAAGGAGTAAATATGTCAATGCCGTTTGAAGTCAAAGCACAGAAGAAACACCTAAAACGGTAAAAAAAATGATAAATCCAGGCTTAGACTCAAAGTCAAATAAAATGATCAGATATGACTGATTGTATCATCACCCACATCCATGAAGAATAGGGTGATGAAAGATAAAAAATACAAGATAAAACCTGGCTGATGGGTTTGCCAGGTAAAGGTGGTGAGAGTGGTGAAGCTGAGCCTTCAGTAAGAGAAGAAAGCTGGATTTCGAGGCAGTGCTAAATAAAATAAAAGTAAAAAAATACAAGGCAGATGTTAGCTGAAGTCAGAAGATTATCCTACGGGGAAAATGTACTTAGAACATTCCATGCTAATAGTAACTAATTTCTTGGGCATATGTAGCAGGTATTCATTTCATAAGAGAAAAAAACAAACCAATCTCTCAGAAATGAGATTTCTCAGARGATGGTTAATGAAAATGCTTAATTTCCTCACAGAAACTCTGAGGGCCTACAGCACACTGTAAGCCACCCAATGAGTTAAAACTTGCTTGATTCCGTGACTACAATCGAAAGACCTTTGGAGAAATAAAAATTCACACCTTTTACTGCAAAAAAACCTTATTAAACAGCGTCCCCAAGAATGGGGGTGAACATACCCCTTTTGCTCTTATTCAGTGTTCTTGTTTCCCCTGGATCCATTTTAGTAACACTGCAGGATTTTGCATCTAAAATTTAATGTCTCCACTGCAGAAATAATTTATTAAAGAAACAGATATCTTGGAATAGAACATTTAAATACTTCTGAAAAGCTGAGCTTTGTTAAAGTGGGACTGATTCAATTCAAATCCTAAATAACCTTACAAAGGATACATAACTGTGTTATAAATTAGAAGCTTTTAAAATACAGTAAAAACTGTTTGCATAAAGCAGGATTAACAGTCTTGCATTCACAGAAGAGTCTCACAAACTTATCCAATGCTATTTTTGAAGTCTAATTTTGAGATGCTATCAATGACAGCCATAACTTGTCTRGCACTGGAGAAATAACCTCAGAGTTGACAATGATGCCAAACAATAGTTTTGACCAGAAGTTTATCAAACTGTCCCAAAAATGGGGTGTCTGCCAATGAGGACACAAAAAAGATCACAGAGACCCTCCCAGCAACACTGACAGCAACTCAGCCCTGCTTGAATTACTGAAATTGTTTCCAAGAGACCCACAGCTGACCGCTCACTCCAAGTTAAAAGCATTTCAAAATAAAATAAAATACGGGTGTCTAAATGTAGTATACTTTTATCACTTCTTTCAAATTGTAATACCCACCTTTATCTCTTTAGCATAGAGAGCAGACTTTAGTTTGGGAAAAAATGAGGTGTTTAAGGTTACTAAACCCCYGTGTTATGACTTTGTATTAATCAGCTTAACAGGGAACAATTTGCTCAAATCAGCATTTAGCATTGCAAATCTAAAAATATCTGTGATACAGATTCTTTAAAAGATTGAAAGAGTACTGTAAGCACGAAGTGCACACTATTATCATAGAGGAAATAAAAGTAAAAAAAAATACAAGATAGATGTTAGCTGAACTCAGATTAACCTACGGGGAAAATGTAGGAAATTAGTATGGAACTTAAAACGTTCCATRCTAATAGTAACTAATTTCTTGGGCACACATAACAGGTATTCATTTCATAAGAGAAAAAAACAAATCAAAATCATAACATTTTTCTCTGAATCTGCAGAAAATGAAATATCTTCAGTGAAATACCAGGTGTACCTTCCAGGGAAGGGCACCTTTCCAGCATCACGGAGAGATTTTTAACACTCAGCACCCAGCTGAGCTGCACCTTTGTCCTCTGAGGAGTCTGTGTCAGGGAAATAGTGAAATTTTAACTGAGAAACTGGAAGGCAAAYGCCTCGGGGAGGCTGGGGGCAGACAGGGAGCAACAATGGAACAGGTTCTCCCAACTGCAGCAGTTTGTAAGGAACTGCAAATGAAGGAGAGCCTGGGGTTGAACTTAGAGGCAGAACAAACTGAAAATGTTTAATTGCGTGTAATGCTAAGGTCTGATTGTTGCTCTCACTCCTAAGGTAAACAGCTCTTCTTTAGTCTGTTTTACAATTTTAATGGCCTATTGTTGTGATGATTTCTGTCCACTTTGGTGAAATGTGCTTCAGTCAAAAAATAATGTTTATTGAGCAAAGGGTACAAATAAGATAAACATTTATGGGTTGAGTCTGCATAAATATTTATCTTCTGAAACTCACTGAAAAACCAGGCATGAAAACAGCAAGAAACAACAGGTTGGCCCTGTAGGASATATTTCTAAAAGTACTGATGGCATGTTTACTCAGTACTAGTTTTAAAACCTGCACAAACATTGGTCTCTGACCCTCTTTTGCCACACTCCAAAGCAGGGCTTAACAGATCCTGATTCAACTGAGGCAATAAACAGTGGGGTCCTGCCATTCATGTTTCCAAACGACCCCAGAAGGAAAGCTGTGCTGGGTGGTTTGGTGATTGCCCTCAGCTCCAAGACACGGTTAAAGTGGAGATAGAAAACCCCAAACCCCGCATCTGCCCCCAAAGCATGAGCTCCAGGCACTGTTGAGACAAAGCTCTTTAAAATTCCCTATCTCTCAGATTCCTTTTGCAGTCACCTTCTGAGAAGCCTTCAAACATTTCATCTCCAGCCACCCTCTGCAGTGGAGAGCGTTTCTGCATGGCAAGGTGTSAAGTGCTGGACCTGCACAAACTGAGAACAACAACCATTCCTTGTGAAGAAAACTCCTCTCTCCATGGCAACTGCAATATTGCTCTTGTCTCCYTAACCACTCCCACGGTCCTTTTTCAGGCTGGGGCAAAACTGCAGCTGAACTGTGACCCCCAAGGGAATATCTAAATCCCACTGAAAAAAAAAATACTGCTCCAATTCCTGCTTATACCTGGGGTGGATCAGAAACAGATCTTGGGAAGGGCCAGGTTAATAATTGCCAGCTTGAATTATGCTACCAGGTAAGACTTAACAGCAGGCTTACTGAAAATAAGAGTAAGCCAGACCAGGAGAACAGACACCAGTGTCCTTCACCACAACAGCTCCCATCAGGATGCTTTGCCTTTGTTTTGCCTTCATTCTTTTCACTCTTCTCCAGAGGTTACTGGTGCACGGGGCTTTGCACAATAAAATTTCTGCAGTGGCTGACCTGAATGTAAAAAACATTCCAAAGCGTGTTTGGAACAACTGAGACAAACCCCAGCCATCTCTGYACACTTCAGAGTCTCCTTGTACAGCACACCTCCTCAAATAATAACCTCACTSAAGTATAAAAGGCCTGGAGGGTGAAGTGCCTGTCACATTCACCTATTTTTCCTGCAGCTGACACTGAATTAACAAGCACAATTCCTTCAGTGAAGCAACCAGTGCATTCCATTCCGAATTCTTGGATCCCTGAGGGGGAATAAAATTGCACTGAACCCCACTTTGAGCATGTGGGAGATGGACATCTGGAATTAACAGAATTAGAAAGGGTTCTCTGGTGGGAACTGAAACAGCAGCATTCACTGGGAAGAGTGGGGKGGAACATAAAATAATCCATGAAACCCAGTTATTCCGTGTTCTTGGATGTATTTCTGCTTCACTGGGACCTTTCTTCAGGCTCCATTTTCACCATTTAGGCTTCAGGATCAGTTTCCCAGAGTCTGCTTTTGATTCTTTACTGAAAACAGATCTCTCAGGGACWCTCCATCTCCTCCAAGTCCTAAAGGTCTTCAGGGATTACTCAGTGCTCCAGGTCCTCTCCACAGGGCTCTGCACAACCCAGGTTATTACCAGGGGAWGCAAACACATCAAATGAAAGGTGTGTGCCCCTCATTTACCCTTTTTATGGATTCTGCTGGAGCATTTCTCCTCTCCTGCAGCTTCTTTCCAACACCTCACTCACTGAAGCCCTGCCTTCATCTACAGTGGCTGTGGCTCAGACAAACAGCTTTGTCACCTCATTTCAAAAACCACATGAAAATCCAGGGTCTCAGCATGGCTCCACCTAAAAGTGAGCTTCAAAGCTGAGGAAAGCAAGCAGTTCTACAGCAGGGAGGGACATCTGAAGAAATAAGTACATACAGAAAATAAAACAAAACCGAACAAACTGAACTAAACCAAAAAAACCCCCAGGGCAGAAGCAGAGCAGTGCCAGGATGTTGTGAAATGCAGATGTATTCCTAGAAACAGTACTGTGTATGAAACCTGAAATGAGTTAAACCATTAAAAAGTGAATTATCTAATTCCCAGGCAGTTGTTTGGACAAAAAAAAAGAAAAAAAAAAAAAAAAAAAAAAAAAAAAAAAAAAAAAAAAAAAAAAAAAAAAAAAAAAAAAAAAAAAAAAAAAAAAAAAAAAAGAAAAAAAAAAGAAACCCAGCAAACACTGCAACACTTCAGGGCTTCAAAAACTGTACAACAACTGGCTTTCAAATTTTCACAGAGAGCAAAACTTTGTGCTGTACCATCAAAAGAAATTACAACTTTGCTCTCATTCTACCCATCTATTTCTTTATTTAAACAAGTCAAAACTTCTAAAGAGAACAGTGAAATGAAAGAACATTAAGTACCCCACAGGTGCTATTGGCACATTAATCTGCTTCAATTAAGAATTGTCAGTGTGTCATTACAAGTGATTCTCATTAAGATGAGAATGTGAGGTCCAAATTACAGAATTTATAAACAAACCAACATTCATCTGAGAACAGCTAACTGCAGCCAAGTGGCTCAAGTGGCACGTGGGATTTTAGACAAGCACATGGAAGGCAAAGTTTTGGTTTAAAGGAAAACAGCATACTTTAAGGCATACTTAAAAACCAAAGGAAGTACACTAAGACAGAATGATGCTGAAAAAAATACAGAAAACAATAAATCAGTGTAATGATGGGTATACCTTTTTGTGGAAAACACTGCAGAGGCCTCTCTCCAAATCTGGTAGCTTAGAAAGAAGATTTTGAATCTGACCAAACACGCTGGAATCTGACAGCAGAATTTCAGACACAGCATCAAGCCGAGCGTTTATTTCACTGTAAAAGAACAAGACCAACAATTAAGACCAAAAATTGAGTTTCTCTGAGGGGAAGGCACACCTCTAGKRAACCTCTTCCTTTGGTTTGTTTWGGTTGGTTTTTTAATCTTTAACRAATGCCATATCCTCATGAGTGAGCKAGTAAAGAACTGAGGAAKGAAGAGAATCTTGKGATTTCACTCAAAATGCAAGCCAGACCCTGGACATGAGCTCATTCTCCCCTCTCTGTGCTCACAACAGSCAAATGGACACTTCAGTACCCATTGCTACATGTCCTTCTGGAGGCAGCAACACAAGAAAAACTGAATTTTGAGTATCCAACCTTAAACTTACAGACAAGTGCCTGGAGGATGGGCAGAGGGAGTTTGGAGCTCACATTTGAACTCCATAYTTTATTCCAATATGTTGTAGATGCACTTTGCATTTTGCTCCTCTGTGTCTGATCCCAGCCTGTGATTGGTAAGTACATTCATCAGAACTGTGGTTTTTTACTGTTTTTTGCTAAATCCTGTAATATTTATCTCTGTCTTTCAGGACTGAAGTCAAGTTCAGGGCCAGGCTGTTGTAATGTCTGCAGCCTTTGGTTTCCTCATGSACACACAGCCACAGTACTGAACTGTTAAATTATAAACATATGCACCTTAAAGAAGGAAAAGCCTTTTTTTTTTCTAAATATAAAAACTACTGTGAGCAGCAGAACTCTGTTCCAGAACACTGTAACTTGATTTAAACAACACTGTTACTACGTGGCCAACTGGAAACTGGCAGTAATATGTAAAATAAATGCAGATATTGGARAAACTGCTCCCTCCAAAGCTTAATCTGCACTTTAATCATACCCACATATGGCTGTGCTACTGGAGCTCCAATAATCTAAAACTAAGCATCCACAGTTTTTCTGATTTAATCCCACAAATAAGAAAGGGTCAGGCATTCAGTACCAAATGACCCATTTTCTTCCACCTGTGAAGAAAACCYACTGGGATTCCTATTTCAAAAGTCAGAAAGTACAGCAAAGCATTCTGTAAAACACCATGCCCACAAGGATGGAAGGACTGGGACAAGCTATTGTAAAAACAGATGATGAATTTCAAAGTATGCTTTTAAACCTTAAGTATTTCAGACTTAAATTAACAAACAATTTATTCAGTGCCAATATATAAATATATATATTACGCTGAGCCATCTCTGAGAAATTTGTTCTGCACAGTTATCCAGCATATATGACGCACAGTTTGGGGTTGCCAATCTCTGCGTGGTCTGGAAAATAATTTCACCACCAGAAAATCTGAATCTAACATTATATAAAGAAATYTAACAGCCAGCTAAGCTGGCTACTACTTCATGCTGTACTTAGGGGTGCAATATTAGCCTGCTCTTTCTCATCTGTATAAACCATGGCAGCAATCTGAGCTTTATCCAATTTTCCAAACAATCTTCTGCGGAATAATGTAACATAATTCAGTTGACTGAAAGCAATTCTCTTCTGCCATACTCCCCATCTAAGAATAGCATCATTAATACAATACTAAAATCACTTTGCAGTGTATTTAAACATAACAAAATCTAACTGCACARTTGTTATTGCAGTCATTTAAAAGAACCACTTGAAGTGAAATAATGAGATACTCCCCTGCATTATTCTGCTGCCAAATAGTGAACAATACAGAAAATTAGAAAACACGAAGAAGATGTTTGAATCCTGAGCTGAAAATTGTTTTGACAAAGCAGAAGGCTGCCGACATGAAAGCACTGCACTGAATTAACATCTGAGCAGTCTACACAGGATTGCTCGGTTACTGGTGCTCCTGAAGCAAAGTAAACCTAACATTTGTAAATGTGATACATCAATACATTTATATATGCTATATCAATACATCTAAAGCAGAGTGAAATTGATAACGTAACTGCCATATAAGAACTGCAGGACAATTTCATTCACATACAGTATTATTTAAATACAAGCTAAATAAATACAAATTTATGAGAAATCTCTTACCTTATGCCAAAGGCAAACAGTAAATAAATTAACTCATCATGCTAAGGATATAACTGAAGTACAATGTAAACAATTAATTGTATTAAATCTGWTCTAAGAGAACAGTGATATGGACAACTGTCAGTCATTCAACAGGAATTCAACCCCTTAAAAAACATAATGATGGGTATGAAACAACAAACACTGCTTTCCATGGACCATAGTGCCTAAATCAAATCCTAGCTGCCTCCCAACTGCAGCACCGCAAAGAATGAAAATGCAGCATTTAATAACTTATTTATTATGGTTTTTTTCCTGACCTCCCCTCAGAGCACAGTTCCTTTCACAAAGGAAAACTTTGGATGAGTGTTAAATGGTACAGAGTGTCCCCTGCTTCAGAGCACTCCCTTTCATGGCAGGGATGCTCCTATGCAGGACAAAAATCTCTGGCTTTTCACCTAAGCCACAAACTGGCTGATTTATGGGACCAACCACAACTTGTTAAATTTTGGTGTGACTCCTGGAATTTTATCCATTAGCACCAGCAAAAAAAGTACAAACAAGGTTAATTACATCGTAATTAGTATGGCGAAATTTGAGTGAAACCTAAAAATATGAAGCATCCGTCTGGGTCTGTTTGTTTGTTTTTCAGGTAATTTRCTCTCACAAMTCCTAATGTYTCATGCCTCTGCAGAGAGGTCCAASATGAGCAYGCAGCCAGGAGAGGASAACAYCCCTGAATGGATTCAAATCTTAACAGCAGTACACCAGATCCCCAAACTTTATCTTCACATCTGTTAAAAGAACGTCCAAAATATGCAAATGATAATCAAACGCTTTTGTYGATGTTCATACACAATGTATTTCAGCTATTTGTGCCTAAAAAGGGAACAATTAGCTTCTTTAGCCAACATGAATGAACGCCTGATTGCTCCATTTAGAAGGAATTAGACACAGCATTCAATGGGACCACAACACAGCTAGCAGAAATGAATCAATGCATGTGATGATGCTGCAGTCTTTTTCTTTSCTACAACAATTTTGAGACCTCAGGCATATGCTGTAACCTGCACTTGTGCGTTTCATACTGGCACTGATTCTACAAAATGTTTTTTCTTAGGAGGAAAATTTAGCCCTGCTGTAGGACTGGTGGATTTTATTCATAAATTATTACAGGAAAAAAAAAATATATTCTAACCCTACTCCAGATGATGATGGTATCAAATAGCAACCAGTTTAAGTCTGATTTAAGATGAGTCTCTTCAAGGGCATTTAGGTACTTTTATTGCCCTGATATTTTAATCATGAGAACAAGGAGAAACTAAAATTTGAAAGACTTTCTCTTAGGATTATACTTTGTGTATAGAAGTATAAATAACACAGCACTCAGTACATTCAAAGTGAGAAAATTTACCACAAGGTATTATTTTATATTACAAAAGAGATGTCTTTGCCAATATCACTATAAAGGGACCCTCTTCTTCCCAGTTCTACATCCTCCAAATAAGTCATGTCACATTTTTAATGCCCATTTACACTCTTCCTCTTCTTTAGTATCACATAAGGAACTGTCTGTAGTCCTGAACTGTGCCCTTCTGTATTTGCTGTATTTACAATCATTCTSAGCTCCTGAACACTGCATATGCACACCAACAGAAATTATCAATACTATCCTACCAGGCTTCAATATTATAAAAACATCATCTCATCCAGAGCTGGAAGAAATGGGGGACAATGGAATGATGAGAAAAAAACAGAAATCCAGTTTTTGAGGGGCAATTACAATTTTGGGTGCTCCAAACCACACAGCTAAGGTTGACACGTTTTTGGCAGCTGTCTAAACACATGGAGTTTTTCTCCTTTCTGGAGGTTTAAACATCATCTTTAACAAGAGAAAGATCAGATTTATATAAATTGGCTACCAATAAATGCAAGCACATCATATGTGACATGCTCAAATCCTAAGAGAGACAGAATAATATCAAAAAAATACAATTTGGGTAATTGTGGGTCACTCAGTGTGTTTCTAATTCAAACACCAAAACCCTCAAGAAGCTGTATAGAACAGCCCAAAAGAGAGAGATGATTTTGCAAACTAGTATGTCCACATCACACACCCCAAATATTTTACCACTTTACCACTTTTCTCATACACATCCCTAGGCTTTTAAAACTTTAACACAAGAAGCTGTTCTAACTCAAAGGAAGCATTTTCACAGCAAAGGCAAACACCAGCCAGGTTCTCTCGCAGTCCTCTCCTTCCTCCCCAGCTGTGGTACCAGGAATCACAGCTCAAGTCAACCCACTGATGTTTAAAAGGCATTCCACATTTCCAGGAGCAGAGGTGGAACCACATCCCTTAAATAGTGCTCCCTGCACAAGAAAGGAATCCACAGATATTCCCCTACACTGGTTGTCAATTGCTCTGCATGATGTATCATCATTCACCTGAAATTCTACCTTAAACACCTCATCACATCTTCATTAGCTTTACAATCCAATCTATTATGGAAACAACAAACCTCTCTAAAATTGTGCCACTCATCTGCCTTTTCCAGTTTTGAACTCCTTGTTCAACTCCAGCCAATCTTGCCAAAGTTGGGTGTTCGGTTTCAAGGAAACACATTTCCTAGAAACTGCACAAGAATCAACAGTTGAGCAAGGCACAGAAAAATTAAAAGCCAGTCAAGGAAAGAATGAAGGATTTTTTTTATTCAGTTTGTAGTGCAGATCAGCTCTGCTACAGCTTGGAGACACTCCTAACATCTGCAAAGAGGAGGCTGGGAGGGAGGGAGGGGGTACCCATGGATGACACAGGGACAGGGAAGGACACACTCTGCACAGGTGAGATTTCAGATTGCTCATGTGCRGGGCACATCCAAAATATACCACAAAACAAAAAAAGAGATGCAAACCTGAGCCAGGTGTGCCCAACYGGGCCTGTGTGGATCTCACCTTTCTATTTCTGCCATTATTGAAAAAGCAATGACTTCCACATCAACCTCAAGGGTTCTGAGATCTATTTCACATTATGAMAGAAATTCTTTGTACCTGTTGCACACAGACAAAGACACAAAGATCACAGTGTGCTACAACACTGGGTTCTGAGAGCTGTCCTGAGCCCTTTGGCTGCTCCACTGCTTGTCCTGCTGGAACCCCATCCCCTGACTGGGGACAGCAGGTTYCACTCACTCAAAAACATCCCAGGCCATTTCCTTTTTTTTCTGTTCCACTTGCAGACATCAGGTGAGAAAGGCACTGGATGGAATTCGAATTTCAGAGGTAGGAGAACACTTCTATAATCCATAAACACGTAACTTCTGCAGAAAAACAACTTGCCTCATTCCTCCTAAAAAGCTGAGTTGTCGGTGACTGATACACTCTTATCTCATTATCTTTGTATACCCAGGTGAGTAAGCGAGGACATTACACCCCTCTTAGTTAAGCTGGTTTTTGCCTTTTGATTTTTTTGCCAAATCTACAAATCTTGTCTATACATGTATTGCATCACTGGTGATCTAAAGATCTAAAGAATAGCTTCAAGTTTGCCCAAATGAGTTGGTACACATTCCCTCTTTATTCAGCCTAATGTATGGTTTCTTCACAGGAAATTTAGTCATCATCCCAAGTGATTTTCAACTCTAAGGCATAAAGCAATAATTACACCCTCTCACTTCTTGATACACCTACTCAGTGACTGGAAAAGATGCAGTACAGAAGCCTTCCTTCCTCTGAGAATGCCACTCCAGGAGGCACAGGTGAATTACAATTACGGAATGTTCTCTGAGTGCATTTGTGTGCATTACTGGGAACAATATCACCGGATGCCTGATGCACTGACTGCGTGCAATTACAACTTGAGAGTCAGAGAGAAGCACAGAGAGCAAAAAGAGCTTTTCTGGCTTCAAGGAGCGCTGAGGAGTACCATCACCTCCAGCCACAGAAACTTGAAAATGCCAAGCATCAMTCTCTAGAGGTGGGAAGGAACAGAGGAGCAAGGGAAAGAAACAGAACCACAAACCTGTAAAGCTGGTTCTGCACCGAGAAAAGGGAGAATTTAAATTAAATATATGGGCTCACAAAGGTCTGGAGCCCCCAGCAAGCAGTTTTCTGTCTGCTGTCCTGGGTAAAAGCTCCACTTCTCAATGGAATAGAGCTTCACCTGCTGCCCCACGGTGTGGTCACTCGGTCAGCGTGGCCGGAGCCAGGACAGAGGAGCCCAAAGCAGGTCCTGCCTGGAGCCCATCCTCGGTGCTCTGGCTCCCTCCGCTGACAGCTGCACAGAACCCCGCTGGTCCAGTGGGCAGAACAGAAATAAACTCATTTATTTCCCTTATTCCTGCAAAGTGGCTCCGAAATTCTACCTGAATGCTTTCACAGTGCCCTGATTAACTTCCATGAATCCTAATGCAGTTTAGGATGGTTACACCAAAAGCATTTGGAAGTGAGTAAGATAAATGAAACCTATTATCAGAAAAAAAAGCCCAATGAAATTAACTTATTAGCCTTTTTGTAATAAGAAAATTAAGCAGTGAAGGTTCAGAAGTGCAGTGCTTTAACATACTAGATTTGGTCAAGGACAAAGAAAATGCTTCTGAAGAAACACTTGTAAATTACCAAGAGCAAGATGCTAAAACAATGGTATACCTCACTATTTAAACCTGTCAAAAATTACTAAACRTTAAATCTGCTTAATATATTTACAGAAGTAAAACAGAGGGGAAAAATACTGTAGGTAGMCAAGTCAAAAGATTTTCTGTATGCTACAACTGGACAGAGAGAAATGACTATTTTAATAAATTGTACATTGCTCAGGAGACACATACTCAAATGAATGGATTCAAAAACTGAAAAGGCAGGCAAAAAGGAGACCACAGACTCAATACTGCTATTTACTACACATTCAAGCACAACACTAAAATCAAGTCTGCAAAGASAAAAATAAAAGATGGAATCAAATTCAAAAGTGAGGCAAGTGAAAACCAGCATAATACAGTTACAAAATACAGCATTTCTAAAGCTCTAATAAATCAAACACAGGTCAAAATGCAGGAGTGTCCACACAATCATCATATTTCAGGATTAATAAAAGTGCAATACTGTGAAATCCTTTGTATCCAGGGATGACAAAACACCCACAGMTACTTTAGAAGAAATTAAACACTTTAAGGATGTAAATACTTGTGAAGCAACACTGACAYGCAGCATTAATTGTCAAGTTTAGGAAAAAAACAATCTCCAGTCATCCTCATTCCCTGTCTGCAAAAGGACACAGAACTAGAATGGTGCCCAATCTGATTTCTGCAAAGCAATTTGTAACTTGGTCCAAACCCATTACTGTTCACCTGTGCCCAGAAAGAGTGGTTTAAATCCTTCAAACCTTCAAAGATGTAACACCCACAACYCCTACTGTGTAATTTCCTGTGCAAACTCCACTGTGGATCTCAGGTCAGCTGGACAAAAAAACACACTGGCCACACTCAGCATCACAGCTACACACAYAGATTTAGCCCTGAATAAAGAATCATCTCACCTGGATTTTATGAGGGGCTGGGTTACCCACTTCTTCAATCTTCGACGTCCAAAGGAGGTTTTAGTATGATCCAGGACCCAGAGTAGGCTTCCTTTTGTTTTCATGTCAGTCTAAAATAATCAAAATGGCTTCAGGATTTTTAACTGAGCAGGCAGTTTATAGTAGAAGGATCTTCACATTACTTAAAAACTATTATTATTAAACACTAAAAACTATTACAGATTAAAAACTATTACTATTAAACACTAAAAACTATTACAGATTAACTTCATTTATGCTTTAAGCATATAACATTCTGAAAATGTTATTCTCCTTCAATCTGATCTAATTTACAATAATTGAAGTCTTACAGGTCAGATTTGCAAATCTGATTAACTTCACAAGGAAAAGTATGTCAAACAGCTGTGAAAATCTCAGCATTTATTTAAAAAAAATACATTTGTCCTTACCTGATTCTGTAAAATTTCAAGATTTTTCATTGTTGTCCCATTAATTGTCATATATTCAGTTTCACTGGACAACCGTTTGAAATTGCTGGGGAGAGAAATTTCCAATACTATATCATAAATTTGGGCACAGGCAGAACTTTGAAACACAGTCAGATTTCTCACAATTYAATAGATAAATCAACACTTATGCACATAAATTTTAAAAATTCAAGTAAAAGATTAAAATATCTAATCAAATAAATGAAAGAACAGTAATAAATTCTTTTAACTTTCTGCTTGGGAAAATAAAATTTCAGGCTCACTTCTCCATTTCCCACGATGAATGTGACAAAGCTCAGAACTAAATCCAGCCCTCCTGTTATCTAACCCTTTTCCACTAAATGGTTAATTTATTCAGTCTACAATTAATACTTCACAAATGGAACAGACTTTTAAGACAACTAATCATCAAAGCAGCCTATCAAAATACATACTCTTGTTTTTTATTACTGCTGCAAATTCAAACAGGTGAATTACCCAGGAATTATGTAGGAAACAGAAATAGGGTGGTTGAAACAATTTGAATTTGTTTTAATGGGAAATAACCATCAACAAAATTACTTGACATTCTGACACTTCTTAACAGAACTAAATGAGACCAACCCAAAGCTTGTGCTGCTTTAGAAACAACCCCAATAAAATAAGAATATTGGGTGTGCAATCATATTAGAYACGAAAATCATTTCAGTCTCAGACACACACACGTAGCAGTCAGGACTGTGAAGGGCAAGAGCCTCACTAAACGCTTCTGACAAATGAAGTCATGATTGTCTGGGTTAATCATCCTGCTGACTGCCTTTGCACAGAATCTAGGACACTCTTTGCTGTCCTACCCTAGGCACAACCACTTGCAGGGCAGGATTTAAAACTGTCTTCTTRACTTTTCACAAAATTTTTTTTCAGTGCGTTCAATTTTAAACCCTCTGGAAAGCACTTGAGTGCTCAAACTTTCCTGTTAGGCACACACAGCTGCATTGCTGCTGCACTAAAAACAAGAACAGCACCAAAACTTTAGAAAAGTGAGATATTCAGAGACTAATCTTATATATTTATGTTGTATACAGGTGCTTGGGCCTTCCACCAATTTTTTTTTCTAAATAATGGGTCAAATTAAAAGTATTTTCCACAGAATYGTAAAAAAAAGCAGATTCAACTGAGAGCCCTCAAGAAGTTTAGTGACAATTTSAAAGTACAGCTGACTCATATCTGTACCCATAGTCATGATTATTCTGCTTTATGTGCTATTTCAGAACCCACCCAAGCTGACCAGCAAAAGAAAACACTGGGGGCAAAACCAGCAACACCTTCCAAATTACACAATATTGTAAGCAACAAAMAATACTTCTTTTTATTATCCTCAGTGACAACTGCTGATGCTGGCAAAAATTAATTAGGAATTATTTCAGCTTGGCTCCCACTCCCTGCATGAAACATTAAATCCCGTTTGCTGTTCCAAAAGTGCTTTTCTGCCACTGCTGGAGATTCTGACCTCTCAGACACAGCTGGGTGAGAACCAAGCTCTGCCACCTCCTCTCCAAAGCCAAATGGATGCTCCTGGGTCTCCCCACGATGGGAGAGTTTCAGGATTGTGGATTTTACTGGCTCTGCTCCTCCCAGCTTTAGAGCATCAAACCCAGCAGAACTGCTCAGGAGTGTCTGGAGAAAACTCCCTCTGTTCCACTGTTCAGAGGATTTACTCTTCTTGCACGGTATATTTACTGCTCTTTCACAGTSTATTTACTCTTCCTTCAGATCAGACAAGCTGAAGCTGTTTTCACAGCATAAATTACGTGTGTCTTACATTCCTTTATCTGAGTTACTTCACCCTGCTATTAATCCTGGTAATTGAGAGTTGGGAGCTCATGAGTAACAGCCAAGATCAACCGTGGTATACGCCCAACCAACAATTCCACATGTCACAGCACAGAACGTGTTTTGCTCCCACCCACCCATCTTCCTTCAGCTGGGGATCAGARCTCGATAAAAATATGAAGAAAAACATATTCTTTACAAGGTGTTTAGAGCCTGATGAAGGTTGTAAGTAATTGTTGAGTGAGGGCTGGCTTTGCAGCAGAGGTCTCAGCACGTGGCTGGTGTGAAATGCTGATGTGCTGCCACCAGCCCTGCCAGCACCACTCAAAGTGACCTTTCACAAACCATTCTGGCACCATGGCAAGGCCATCGCTCCTSCTGCACGTGGCACTGTCACCCCAGCTTCCAAGAACAGGCTTGCAACAGTCCCAGACACTCAAACAGCACAAAATCCAAATAATGGGAACAGCTGGGGAGTCCACAACAGGGAGCGTGGCAAGGCATGGTCAGGTCAGCTCTGGGCTTAGAAAAAGGAAGAGTCAACAAACACAAGCTTCTAGGAAGCTTTAGGAATCTTATAGGGAATACTCACAAGAATAAMTCACAAAATTGCTTTTTCAGAGTAGGACATACCTGATAATGAGTATGCAAAGGTTACTGTTCTGCTTCAGGATAGCCAAGCACATCCTCAGACTTCAATTATTATGTATTATTGGAGAAACTGAATCATCCTTGTCATTTTTTCAGTATTTAAGGGAGTTTGTAAAGAACAGTGAGAGCAACTTTCTACACAGGCAGTTAGTGAYAGAACAAGGGAGAACAGCTTTAAATTAAGAGAGATTTATTTTTATAAAGGAATTGTTCCCTTCTGATCCAAACCAGACGGAAATTCTGTGATTTTGCCTCTCAAGAAGCTTGCAGTGAATGGTGGTTTTAATGCTCTATTCATTATTTTCTCCACAGGAGATAAGATACTGGATATGAAATCATGTATTTATTTCAGCCTAAGTAAGTGCATGTTATTCAGATCAGGAAYGTTCAACTACTTTAATTTTCCAAAYCTCTAACATTTCTGCAAGGCACTCTYTGAAAGCAACAGATTTTCTCTGCTCCATTACCTTTTGCAAACTTTTAGAGTCTTTGAGATCTCTAGGGGTGAAGAAACCACAGAATGAACTACACAAATAAAAAATGCAGAATCCCTAAAAGCTTTAAGAAGTAGAAATAAGTCTCTTCATTATTCAAAACCATCAGTTTTCTTTAGGTTTCATACCAAAGACATTTACCACAAGGATGTCAAGCCCAGACTATGATTTGTATTTAATAAGCCAGGTTAAAACTCATTAGTGAGTATTTCCACTGGGCTAGAACATCTGAATCCCTTTTTGGTTTTTGTATCATTTTCTGCATTTCTTGAAGTTCATCCTTTAATGTTCAAAATCTGCAAGCTACAGTGTCTTTATCCATATCCATCATGCTGGACAACACAAGAGGTAACACTGAAGTACACCAAGACATATTTCCTCATCAACTGCTATGCAAATGATGATTTTTCAAACAATCCCATTTTCAAAAAAATTGGGTACTCAAATGTACTTGAAAACCTCTCTCAGATGTGTATCAATTTCTTAACAAAAGCCTTTAATAAAGGTCTCTCAGTATGTAAGGGTATTAGAACACATTGATTAAAAGAAACTTGTATCATTCATTATTAAATCTATTTTTACTTGCTGCTGGRATGCTAAAGCAGCCTAGCCATACCTCAGAGTTCTGCTGTGGTAGGATTTTTAATTTCTTTGTAATAGTTTGCTTTATTTCATCTGATTATTAGTGCAAAATATGACCACCACCACTTGGATTCCTTGACTTATATGATGTTTCATCACTTCCTACTAGAATAAAATGGAATTTTTTTCAGTTGGGAGTGTTTGTCCAAGGCAGGTACAGAGGTGTAATGAATTTTTCTGTTACTCTTTCCACCAAACAGGTCTTTTTCTTCCAGATGTGACACATTAACAAACTGAAAACTATCCCACAACTCCAACTTTGTGCTCACTCATCTGTGCACGCTCACTGACCTGAATTCTTCCAGGAATTTTAAGTTGCTTGGCACTGCCATGGAAGTTATTTCTCTTTTATTTCCTAGTTCAGGAGATTCACGAGCRTGCCATAATTTGCTGAAAGCTTTTCACTTTTCAGCATTTAGATAGCATTTCACTGGCACTAGGGAAAATATTGTATTTGAGTTTGCCTCAATATTTGTCTCACTTTGTCAATCCCCATGACACAAAATAAGTTCTGCAAACAGCAAGTGGAACTCAACACTGGGCAGTCAGAGCACAAAGACTTCAGAAACAAACAGCAGAATCCAAGCTCCTGACCACAAAGTTACCACAAAAAAAAGTTATTTTACTTCTTCACAGAACATCACCAAGATTTTAAATATTCCTTTGCCTTTTCCTGAGATGCTCGTACATTCCCCAGAAATCCATTAGAGCAACCTTCAGCAGGCAAATGTCAAAGCTAGGATTTAGTGCTTTTCCTTCCCAGTCTATAACGTGCTTGATTTTAGGGTGCAGCTGTCACAAATGTGACTGACTGACTGCTGCTACATAAAGCCTCCACATAATTATATTTGTCCTCTGCTACTGAATTACTTCCACGTAAGAGATGGATTTTGCATTTTCTCCAGCTGTAAGAAAACTCACATCCTGTGTGACTGCAACAGCATTGACCCAGGAGGTGACCATGAAATGGCATTTCYCTGGAATTTATTTTCTTCCTCAGAAACTCTACAGGATTTCTCCACCTATGCCCATCATACTGGGGTGGGGGGAAGAAGGATAAAAGAAAAAAGGCAATCAAAGAAGATGAGCAGACACAGCACAGTGCTAGAACACCGAATCAACACATCCTTTGGATCAGCAGGGGAGATGCCACAGGAATTCCTTCCTCATTAGGTCCATCAACACATCAAACTTTTTGTTAACATGTAAATACAACTTGCAGAGAAGGGTGACTTAAGGAAGAAAATCCATCCCAAAATTCAGAACACATTTTTAATTTCAAAATATTTTAGTGGACACTGGAAAAAGTATACAAGAATTGTTTAAAGCTGGCACCTTCAGTTAATTTTTTAAATGCAGCTATTAATGTAAACTGGTAATGCAGGGAGACCTTCAAACTCTCAGAATCCCATACAACATCTGAATGATCTACAAATGACATGACACATTTCTAAGTTTCCAGCCTGCAGCCAGACTGACTTCATTAAATCCTGCCTACTTACAGGACAGAGAAATACTGGGACAACTGGGAGAATATTTATCAGAGGATCCATGCTAGATAAAGCTGTTTTATTTACTAAACCTCAGTGATATTTTCAAAGCTAAGCCAGGTAGGATGGCAATGTCTTATACTCATGAAAGACAGGATAAGAGAAGCTTTAGCAGCACTATCTTCCCATTTCCATTTGATTCCTCCTGCACAATCCTGTCACAAATCTTGAGTATTCATTTGAGCACATCTAACAAACCCAAGTGTTGGGATCACTCAAGAGGTAACAAGATTATATCTATGTCTGTGTGGTTTTGTAGTAACTTGGCATAAATGGTGGTGGTCCAGCAACAACTTCTGCCCACTCCTACTGACCACTGAGTCCAGCCAAGGGATTTTTGAGAAAGCCAGGATGTGTTAAAAGCCTGTTTTCTTTGAAACTGATAACTAGATCAAATCACTCAAAGGGGCCTGCTGAGTACTGCCTGAACATTGCCACACTCTAGAGTTTATACCTGCCTCCACAGCTATAGAAAGGAAACATTTATATACTGTTGGCAAAATACAACAACATCTGCAAAGCTAAGCTCTAAAGCAGCAGTAATTTTTTTTTTAAAGCTGCGAAAAAAAAGCTCTATATTTTAGGTACAAAATAAAACTGAAGTTGAGATGTGATAGCTGATATAAACAAACTTTAAATTTTTCTCTCTACTATCTACCAGTTTTTGCACCTTGTTTGTTTTCAGTAACACTTGGCAGCAGTACATGCTCATTCACATCACTGACAGTAATGTCTACACAAACATACCTCAGAAAGATTTTSCTGAAACACCGCTCAAAGAAACCACTTGATTTTTTTCTGTTGTGATTAGGAACCAAATGTAAGGTATAATTTTTACAAAGACTATCAGTAGCAGGTTTTTCATTACAGTCAGGGATGCTGTCTGCTAAAACTTGTAAGAAGGGGCGCTTTGAATTGGRAGTTTATACACAGCAACTTACCTTGGATTGTAAAGCATCTTTTCCAAATTAAATTCTTTGAGATATGCAATTACTGCTGCCAGAGAGCAAATAACAGGCTTATCCAAGCTTAATACTGCAGATAGTTTTTGAGGACCTAAAAAAAAAATGGTTCTTGTTAAATGTCTATTTTATTCTTAACTCACTGTATACTACTAATGTATTGTAGAAGAAGCTTTTGAAATTTATTCTAATACAAATCCGTAATGCATGTGTAGTGTTTTATGAGATCTATAAATCAATGTAACACTTATGGTTCCAAACAATGAGAACACTGCAATAGTGTAAACACATTATGAAACAGAACACATTTGACTCCATRGGTTTTTCTTCATAAAAATGACTAACTGTTGGCATTACAAACTTCTAAATATACAAACCAAGAATGCAATTCTGACATTTTTGTACACAGTGCTCTACTACAGTGTCTGYTCSAGCTGCAACAACAGRARAGCTCASTCCACAACACCACAACATGAATTGGTATTTTTAACGACCCATGTAGTTCAGGTTTTTTTTCAGAGATGTTTTTAAAGGGGTTCTCCTTGGATAACACACACAAGAAGTTTATATCTTATCATCAAGAATGTCACCCCCATCCTGAAAGAGGGTGAGGAGGAGGACCCAGGAAATTTCCTGGGCAGCCACCTCCATCCCTGGGAATGGACAGGTGGCTCTGGAGTCACCACCAAGCATGAAGAAGGAAAAATCATCAAGGAGGGGCCAGCAGGGATTGACCAAGGGGAAACTGTGCTTGAGAGCTGGATGGTGAAAAACCCAGTGAGGGTCCACAAGTTGGGGGGAAACAACCCCAAACAGCAGCACAGGCTGGGGGAGCTCTGCAGAGGAGGACCTGGGGATGCTGGTGGGGAGCAAGGTGACCATGAGAGCTGAGAAAGAAAAGGAGTTGATGTAGAGGGTTCAGCAGAGGCCGTAACGATGTTTAAGAGGCTGGAGCATCTCTTAGGACAGACTGGGAGCTGAGCCTGTTTAGTCAAGAAGAGAAGACTGAGAGGTGATCTCATCAATCAATACCTCCAAGGGCTGTCAGGAGATGGCGCCAGACTCTCTTCAGTGGAGCCCAGTGATAGCGTGAGGAGCCATGGCCATAAAATAAAGCACGAGAAGTTCAAGCTCAACATGAGGAAGAACTTCTTTAGACTGAGGCTGGCAGAACACTGAAACAAGCTGCCCAGGGAGGGTGTGGAATCTCCTTTCTGGAGAAATCTCAACCTCACCTGGACACATTCCTGTCTCCCTGCTCCAGGGGGATTGGGCTGGATGGTCTCCAGAGATCTATTTCATCCCCAGAAATCCTGGGATTCCATGAACTTCAAGAAACATTTCAGTTGTTGAGTAAACCCCTCCCAGCTGCTATGTTTAAATTTAGATCTGTCTGAACATACACCTTCGAGCTATGAAAAAAGCAGTGGTAGCGCTATATTCATTTTTATTTAAATAATGTTCATTTTCCTCCAAGCTCAAAAAAAGATCCCACTGCGCAGAAAATTAAGCAAAAGTGGCGAAAAGCCTGCGCAGATGTAAAGGCTAATAGGATGCATGCTTCAAAGATATTTGGAATGAAAGACCTCTAATGTCAGATTTTGCATAAAAATCTGAATGACATACCTGTAGTACCAGGCACTTCTTTTGCATAGAAGTCAGTAACTCTCTGGAAAGCATGACTGTACTCAAAATTATGGTTTTCCATCCTTTCTATCCTAATTCTGTCATCCTGTAACCTGCAAAGAAAAAAATATTTGACTTTCAGTTTTTTATATTCCTTTCATGAAGAATGCTGAAGGAGGTTACAAAGGTGCACCTTCTTTTGTCTTCACTCTGTTAAGAGTTGAAYAAAGAAAAGAATGAAGGTAAAGGTAAAGAATGAAGAGATGAGCCATTGAACTGGGTTGAGAACATTTCCAAGTGTGGTGTGTTTTGTTAAATGTTTCTTCTAACCACTGTAAAACWGAAAATAAAGCAAAGCCAAGCAGCAACAGCAAACACACCCAAAACCACCATTTCTTCACCAATCACAGGAAGCCTTGGCCTTATCTCTTCTTTAAGACCTCTGATGATTAAACACTTTAGCTAATTTCCTACACTGTCTATTACCATATTAAATTTTCCTTTGTCTTTGAAGACTTTATCTTATTCTGTACAACTAAAGGGCTTTATTTCTTTTAGTTTTTTTGCAGTCTAGGCAGCCAAGGATGTTATTACTGATAACCCACTCTAGCCAGCATATCATCAGCACCAGCAAATGCAGCAAACTTGACAAGATGCAACATTTCTACACTRGCTCCTTTTCCTAACTTGTTGAAAAATCAAGACTTGGATGCTGCTTTAAAATTTCAATTTGCACAGCTGTTCACACAGCATTAAACAGATAATTCTGGTTCAAAAATCATAACCAAAAGGACACTGGGTGCCCCTGCCACCTCTGAGCACAATTACACAGCTTCAGAATGAGCAGAATGAACCAGGAGCCAGTAGAGAGCAAAAAGACAAAAAGACACACATAAAACCTACCTTCACTCTCATACCCCCATGGGATGTGAATTAATTAACCAAGTGCTTGGGCAMACTGGAATTATGTCAGTGAGAAAGATCGTGTAGGTATTACAGGATGGAAGTTAATCAATGTCCTTTTTGCAGGGCTTTCCAATCTCAGAGGAAAAAACAGACAAGTTTTCTGCCTTACATTCTAACACTGCCACGTGAAAGGATCAATGCACCTTCGAGGCCCCAGCTCTTAAAAATGAGAGTCAATTTCCACAACGCGTGTCCAACTAACCACACTTGTCCCAGCACACCCTCGGTGATCCTTCCCTGCCTCACTAAAACTGACTTTTATCCAATTAAACCTTCAGGTTTTACACCCTCTGGGAGTCCCCTCTCCCCAGCCCTTCTCAAAATGAGCAAATATTCTCCAAGCAAAGGCAAATAACCAACACCAATCAGCTTTTCCTGCTTGCTCCAACCCTCACCCATCATCTGCTCTAGAACATCCACCCCTTCTGTTAATTTAAGGTGTTTCAGTGCAGCTTCGTGGCAAAACACCCCTTCAGTACAGTTCATGGTGTGATGTGTGATTCCTGGAGGTTTGCACAGCACAGACCCCGAGTCAGCCCTAAAACACAGCACGGCCCTTCTGCTGACCACGTGTGACTAGAGAAATAGCTTTAAATTAATACTTAATTTTTCATTTCTACCTCTTTATGTTTTTGTAACAGTGACTACAGAAAAGCAAGGTCTGAAGAAATAATTTTTAGAACAAAAGTCAAAAAAGGAGCCTTTGAAGTTTTAGAACCAAAGTGAAAAAAGGGGGTATTTCACTGAATGGCTCATGSCACACTTGTTTGTTTTCTAATGTTGAAACATTAATTGGTGCCATTTTCTTCAATGCATTTGTGATTGTCTTCCCTTTTACAACCAAATTTATCTAACTTGAACATAAACTTTGGAAAATTACAGTTACCATCAATATAAGTTGAGTGACTTCATATACTATTTTTGTTTGTCAACTATACGAATGGGAAATATTTGAAATTACAATTAGGCAACTCAGTGATCTGCAATGATCTTCATTTATTTTAGTATTTATATTCTAGATATGACAACATCAAATATACATATATATGACAATCTGTCTGATATTTTAGATAAATAACTGATATCTTTACTGATATTTTAGATAAAGCAAAAATAAAGGAAAGTTACCAATTCAATGTGTGGAAAACCCCTATATTTTTATCAAGATGCATAAAAACAAAGTTTGCTGCTGCACAAGGTTTTCATGCCTGTCYTTTGTGCAGCAAGATGATCACCCAAAGGCCATTTTCCTGATTATAGGCAGGATGATATGTTGATGCTTATTTTATCTCTCCAGCCACCAATGCCTATTTAAATCAGGASTCAATTGCCATCAACTTTTGTAAGCATCACTCTTGTCAGAGCCTCTAAACAAGCTGCAGTTCAACTCACCCAGTGCCTCCCTGCTGCCCTTCCCAGCTTCCCAAAAACAAGGAACCCTCTCAGGGTTTCCAGAGGTGAAACCCAAACTCTCAGATCTCCCTCACCTGCCCTGCCCAGTCCTTGAGCACCCCTGAACTGGAGTTTTGAGGGTCCCAGCTCACAGCTGAAGGTACAAAYATTGCCCCTGACAGAACCCACTGCTCCTCCCATGCTGAAATTCGATGCAGAAATGTCTCTCCTCACAAGAGGAGCTGTAAAAAATTGCTCAGAGATGATCATCACCAATATCCAGGGATCCACGTGCCTGTGGCATCCCAAACCACACACAGTTACACGCTGTGTAATAATGTAATAATATAAAATGTAACATCCTAACCTACACTGTTCCACCATCCTGTTACTACAGRGGCTAATTTATCTTTCACCCTGCTGGCAAAGTGAAAAAGGATCAACACTCTGCTGGCTTTAATGCCTCTATTTATCTGACAATTCAATGCAGCCACTTAAAATTCATTGTTTACCAAGCGCTGTAGGAAAAATATTTAAAAGAGATCATCAGTTTAGAGGGAAAAGTCCCTTAAGAAAGACATCTACAAAAAATGCTAGAAGCTAAAAGAAAGCAACATAAATAAAACTAATTTACAGAAGCTAACTCGAGATACCTAAATAATAATAAAATCTTTTATTAAGAATGAGCTTGCTTTAAGCACGAGAGCTAACTGCAGTTTGCTGATTAAAGTAGGAATCACTTCTTTGCTGCTCTACAACTCAAAATTAAACAGGCAGAAAGTGAATAAAGACTTACTGAAAAACAAACACATCCAAATTAAGCTTCCCCAAACCTCAAGAACTTCCTTAGSAGTTACTTGCTCATAAGAAAAGCARGTAACTCCAGAATTTTACTTTTTAACTACTATCCTGCCATGCACATTCTGCTTTAGGACATTCAACTGCAAGGGTGCAGGTGCAGCACCAAAATTTTATTGTACCACAACACAAGGACACCAATGATGCAGGATTTGGGAAGGTGTCTGCTCCTAAAACCAAGTTTGAAGTTTTTACTTCTGATGCTRAACACAGATTTGTAAAGCCCAAATAATTTACTTAGTGTTTACTATACAATTTATTCAAATTGCTCTTTTCTCTGCACTTCTCATCGTTTATTCCGCTGGGATGACCAGAGAAAAATGCCAGCACTGCCCAGCGTGGCAAGGCAACTTGAATGCATTAGTCCTTTCAGAAATCCACATGGTGTCATCTTCCCTTATTAACGTGCTTGGCAGAAATTGTATTTCCTTCACTTGTCATCACTGTGCTGCCTTTGTTATCCCACCGCTTCTAGCTGAGGGGATTTGGGTTTGAGWGTGTCAGTGGGAATGGAGAACAACCACCTTTCCTTTTTTTGGTGAATGYTGGCACAGAGCTCCAGCAGCTTCTCTGGCAAAGCCTCCCTGACATTTCCAAGCAGTTGCTCTTTTGGCACTGAGCACAAAAGAAAATCTTTTATAAGAACAGCTTTTTCTCCTGTCAGAGTCAAGCACTTCCCCACATTTGCTCTGGGCAGCTTTCAGATCCAGAGATGGAGATTGCTGTTGCAGTCACCTTCTCTGAATATCTGGTCCAAATCAYGTGCTGTGCATGAAAACCAAACAGAAACCATGCCATGGATGTTATCAACATGTTATATTCCACACATTGCTGCACAGGACCTCCAGCTTCCAAAATGCCCCATCCCAAACCCATCAGGAATGACAGAAACTGCTGRAAAGCCCAGAMGGAAATSTGACACACTTTAATATAAAAGCCCAGAAGGAAAWCTGACWCACTTYAATATACACATACACATATATGTGTATCTACTCACTCACATGTGTCTATATCTTACACACAAAAATATAAAAGAAAACACACAGAAAAACTTGGGGAAAACTCCTTGCTTGCCTTTTTTCCACCAAACTACCAACACTTCTCAACTCATTTTCTGATTATCTCAGGATGAATTACACCTGAAAAGAACTCCAATCACACTGACAAGCCTGGAGCCTGAAACCAAAGAATTCAAACAGAACGTTCTTTTAGCTTTAGGAACTCAGAGGCAGGAGCTGTCCAAGAAATGGAGTAAGGAGGGTATGAGAAAAGCACTGGGCAGAGCTGCGAGGGCACAATTTGATGGCACAGGACAAAACACAAGCACACTTTTACTGCAGCAGCTTCCACATTCACAAATAAGACACAAATCTTCTTCAGCCCCCTGAAGAACGGGATGAGACACACAGCACTCACGTCTTGGAAGCAGAAAAGACCAATAACTGCTAGGAAACCATTATCACCCAGAAAAAAAAAAAAAAAAACCAAAAAAAAAAAAAATAACCACAGCAAAATGACAATCCCCCACCACATCCATTTAATTTCCCTCAATTGCAGAGGAGGCGATTCTGAGGACAGAGAAGACGCAGATGCTGTACCTGCTTGATCTCAGGGYGGTAATTTCACACTGCTCCACAGGTGCTCGAAGCTGGTCTGCAGAGGGTGATTCACAAGGAAGTGCTCTTAGAGAACGGGCTGGAGAGCAGCACTCGGGATCAGGGGCTCCCTGTGGGCGTGGGGTGAGTGCTGTGCTGGTTCCATCAGCTCTGCACTGCCCCGGGAGCACTCGCTGCTTCAGGCACCACGCACAAAAGCAGAGCCACACAGGACAACCCCCAGGCACTCAAACACGGCGTGGGGTGGCTGCAAAGAATGCTAGAAAACCTCAAAATGCGCC